CGGGGTGCTCGGTCCACGACAGAGGCCACGCTGGTCTCAGCAGGGTTGAGGGTGTGGCCGTGCTTGGCCAAGAGCCAAGCTGGAGGGACAGGGCCCAGGGGCAGAGTGCCTGTGTGTGTGGCCCGTGGAAGGCCACGTGCTGTGGGGCTCTTGGGGCTGGGCATGGGGTCACAGGTCCAGGGTGGGAGCGTGAGTGGCCACTGCGTGGTGGACACTTATGAGGGGTGGGGTCGTGTGTGTCGGGCATCTGCGTGGCTCCTGGGGGCCCTGCACGTGTTCTGTGTCTGCGGATGGTGGCGCGGCGAGCAGCTGTGGGCCTTCGCCTTGCTGTGGGACGCGCGGGGGTTCCCGCTCCCGACGGGCCGCTATACCCATGCTACCATGTGCAGCTGGCTGCAGTTGGGTGAACAGGCCTTAAGTGCGGAGAGCCGCAGGTCTGGTCGCCCGTCTTGGGGCCTGAGCGCTGGCCGCTCGCGCCACGCTTCCCGCCCGATGCCCTCGCAGCCCAGGCCCTCCTGGTCACCGCCGTCTTCCCCGCAAGCCCCAACGGAGGACCCGGTCCCTGGGGCACCAGCGTCTAAGACGGGCAGCGCGGCCTCAGCCGATCTCGACTGCGGGGCCCGTGGTGGTGACCTCGGGGCCCCGTGGGGGACGCAGCTCCTGTGCGCTCCGCTGGGGCCCTGAGGGGCAGACGGGGGCAGGGGGCTGTCCGAGCGCTTGCATGGTGGGCGCGGGAGCCAGCGCCCTGCCCGGGGACACCAGGGAAGCCGTCCTCCCAGAGCAGGTGGGGCAGCCTGCTGGGCCGTTGGGCTGGTTCCCGGCCAGTAGGGCGTCTCCCTGCCCAGGAAGCCCCGGGAAAAACGAGCTTTTCTCGCACAGAGGCCGGAGCCTGTGTGGTGACCTCACCTTTGCCATTGTTTCCAAGTCGGGGCGGGGGGGTGGTGGTAGGAGGGACAGCAGGGGGCTGGGCTGCTCTGGGACTGGGCGTCCGGGCCCGCGGCGGGGGGAGGAAAGAAGCTTATGCTGAGGGGTTTCCTGGCTGGGGTGACAGCAGAGCAGGGGACCCGCCCGGCCGTCTCCAGATTTCTAGGAACACCTGCTCTTCTCATGGAGGCCCAGCCAAGCCGGGGGGCTTCCAGGAGCCGCTGTCCCCCGCGGTAGACACCGAGAGACGACCAGCCCTCCTCAGGTCGCTCGAATCCCGTGTTTGTAAGGAGGTTGGCGGCTGAAGGATGTGTACGGACGGCTCGAAAGGTCGGTCGTGGAGCGGGGCGTGGGCAGTTTTAATGATCTCCGGGGGCCGAGTGGCGTGAAGTGTGCTTGCCTTTGATGGGAGCCCCTGAAACACTCAATGGAAAGGGGTGACCGGTGGATTCTGGGTGGCGCTGACCCTTCGCCCCCCGGCAGGTCCCCCTGTGATGGGCTGTGACCTCCCCGGACCCCGACGCCCTTCCTCACCTCTCCTCACTGCTTCTCCCCTGCACTCAGCTCCCCGCGATCGTGGAGGGATTGTGGAGGTGGGGCTGCCGACCCCAGCTGGACCCCTCCTGGAACGGGAACAGTCTGGGGGTCCCAGCTGCGTCCCCGCAGGGAGAGGTGAACAGGAATGGGTTTGTGTGCCCGGCTACAATCTGGTGCGTGTTTCTCAGGAAGGAATTGCTCCTCCAGTCGCTGGGAGTCTGCCATCCTCAGCAGTGCAGGGCCAGAGTGGGGGCGGGTGTGGGGAGCAGGGGCGGGGGCTCCATCCAGCCCCCCGTCCAGTCCACGCACAATGGCCGTCTCCCTCACCCAGCTTCCCTGAGACTTCCCCCAGCAGAGCTTACCCAGCGACAGCAGGTCACGTTCTTCTGGGGCACACTTCCTCGGGGACCCCGAGTCAGGGCCTCTGCCTGGCCAGGGAAGGGACTGTGCCCCAGGGCAGGGCAGAAACCTCTGCCCGCTGAGTGTATGTTGCTCAGGCCTCGTCCCTCGCGGGCCAGGGGACCGTAGAGCCTGTCTGGACACAGCCAGCCTTCCCTGCAGGGCTTGTGGTTGGGGCCGGGGTGGGTGGTCAGGCCTGGACTTGGGGCGGACTGTTCCCAGCAGAGGCACCTGTCACCTGGGAGCCCCTCACTCCTGGTGCTCAGCCTGCTGTCCAGCCACACTGCGGGGGTGGGGGGGGTTCCACGACCAGGGAAGCCTATGGCCTGATGGGGTCCCCTTCTCAGGCCTCTGAAAGACCAGGCTGCCCCTTGGGGACACCTCGATTCCAGACATCTGTTCTCCAGGACGGAGGGAGGGACTCTGTGTTTGGAGTTGCCCAGTCTGTGGTGCTTTGTTCTGGCCGCCCTGGGACATGGGTTTGCAGCCTGGTATCGAAGCTGGCTGAGTGACCTTGGGCAGGGTCTGGAGCCCCTCTAGCCTCAGCCCCTTGGGGTGATGGCACCCCCGGGGTTGTCAAAATAGAAATAACCCAGGGAAGCTGCCCCCGGTCCGCCCCCCCAGACCACCAGGGCCGTGGTCATCACTGTCCTCTCTCTGTGCCCACTGCCCCTCCTGCCCCCCTGGGACCTGCTGCTCCCACCCCCTGAGACCCCGGGGCAGGGTGAGTGTGGCTTGCTGCGGCCACTGAGGGGGCCTTTCCGGCTCGTTGGAATCCTGGCCATTCTGGACAGAGGAGGATGGGCAGTCCCTCCTTCCCCCTCCCAGCCAGACCGCTCACCGGTGGGCTGCTTGCTCTCAGGCCTCAGCCCCGGGGTCTTTCCTGGGCCCCCAGGAACCTGATGGTGGGTCCGGGCCTGAGCAGGCAGTGAGCCCCCGCCTCGGTGACACTGCAGGGCGGGGCCATCCACCATGTCCACCCTGTCCCACGGCCAGCAGCTCTGCGTGGGGAGGTCGGTGCCTTGCCCCCTCCACCCAGCCTCATCCCTGCGGCTGCTTGGGCCCCAGCTCCTTCCAGCCACCTGATTGTACCACCTGTCTCCCTCCAGGCCAGCCCCCTGGGCAGGTGTGGCGGGCACAGGGCTGGCCTGGGGACCTGACCCCTGCTCAGGCACTGGGCTAGCAAGGGGGGAGCCCGGTGCTGGTGGAGGAGCGGCAGGGGCGGGCGGGAGACACGCGGGTTTCTCTATCTCCAGGGGTTTTATTCTGCGTAAATGGAAAAAGGCTCTGATTCTCGGTTCACACGAGAATAAGGCGTTCCTGAACATAATTTCATTTAAGTTTTATTTGTACCGGCGTTATGTATGTTCAACTTGTAAAGGCCCACTAGTGATAGAAAGTGTGTAATGAGAGAATTCATCTCCATAGTCCGAAATGAGGCACTTTCCTGCTGTTTCTTATTCCATGATTTTTCAATTGAGGCGCCGTTCGCGGACATTTTTTCCTGTAGAAAATGAAGACGGAGCAATCGTAGAAGCCCCCGCCCCCCTGGCACGCACACACACAAGCACCAGGTGGGGGCTGAATCGAGACTCGGTGTGGACATGGGAATTCACAGCGTGTCCACACGGATCACCAGGACTGTTCTCTGGGAATTGAATTTGCCTCATTTTGGGGCTGCCTAGTTTTTATATTCTTACCATTTATTTGTGCCCAGATCAGGGACATCAAATCTCCCAGTGCTTTCAGACATGCATGCCATCACTGTGTGAACAAACTTCCCCCGAACACAGCCGCTTCAGACGTCGCGGGCGCCGCATTTCTTCCGATTCTGTGGGGTCCTGGCCACGCCGGGCGCCGGGCCGTGGACTCCTCTGCTGTGGCCACTTCTGCGTGGTGCCCCACCCTCGGACTGCGCATGGCTGTGCACGCTCTGTCTCTCTCTGTTCCTCTGTCTCTCGCTCTCTCTCTCGCTCTCTCTCTCTCTCTCGCAGGCGCACCAGGGCCCCTCCGCGTGGCAGTCTGCGCTTCCTCCCAGCACGGTGGTCTCGACAATCGGGACCTCGTCGCGGCCGCTCCGTCCTGGGGGCTGAGCCAGGACAGGCTCATTGTCACCTCTGCTCCTTGTGGTGGCCTCAGGGCACCCCGGGTGGGGGGACACCATGCCTTCTGGTGGGAAGAGCCACGGGATTGCAGTCATTGGCGCTCTGTGGCGCCCCCTTTCCTGGAGCCCCTGTCTGGCCGGACCGGCCTCTGGCTGCCCCCCCCCCCCCCCCCCCCGCCGCCAGGAGCCTCCTGTGACCCAGTGACCCTGCAGACCTGCATGTCTCCCTCCACCCCTGACTAATGGGCAAGTGGGGAGTTGTGGCAGAGAATGCTCCCCCTTAGGCTGCTGGCCTTGGGCGGGCTCCCCTCCTGCAGGCTTGGCTGCTGTCTGGTGTTGAGATATAGCCTGAGGTGCCCATGTGCCCCTGCGGCCAGGGCCGCCTGCTCAGGGACGGCTCTCTGGGGACCTGGGTGGTCACATGGGAGGTGGGGACGCATCGAGAAGCAGGGCTGAAGCTTGACTTCCCACCAGCCTGGGGAAGGTTTTTTATTCGAGGGTCTGCCCCCCGACCCCAGAGGGTTCCCCCAAACCCGGAGGGCGTGTCTCTCCAGAAGGCATCAGTCACACACCCTGATGGTAGCACGTTGGGGTTCCTGAAGCTGTGAGCCCCAGGGCCATGTGCACAGCCATTAGCTTCCCCAGCCCCCCAGGCCGTGAGCAGCCGGAAGGATCTAGAACAGTAGGCCTCCCCTCAGCACCCCTGTGTGCTTCACGGAGAGCCCCGTGGTCTGGGCTTCCAATTAGTCAAGGGTCCTGTGCCTTTTTCTGGGAAATTCAGGGTCCCTGGGAGGTGGGATGGACACGGGTGGGGTGCAGGGTCGGGAGACCCCACCCAGGAGGCACAGCGGGCACCAGGGAGGTGGGACTCCTGGGGTGGTGAGGGCCACTGGGAGCTGGGGGTCCTTGGGGATCCCTAGCGAGGCAGAGCCTGAGAAACATGGCTCACAGACCCGCAATGGGTGCTCTGACCCAGTGCTTGGGCCCTCAGCACCTGACCCCGAGGTAACCTCTTTCCCGTTCTGCTTCCGTCAAGGTCATCGACGATGAGAGCACAGCTGTTCTGGAGCTTCCGACTTTGTGGGTGCCCTCTAAGTCCCCCATTCCGTCTGAGGGACCCTGCGTGCCTTCTGGCCAGCTGTGTGCAGAACATGCCCGGCCCGGGGAGGCTGCCTGCTCGCGGTTCCGCAGAGAGGAGTTGTGTCCAGCCCGGAGGACGGCCCCCACTAGCAGAGCGGTTCCTCTCCACTGAATGTATTTATTCCCCTCACTCAGACTTCAGTTCTTCTGGTTTATGAAATTCCAGGAGCCCAGCCTCACGCCGCTGCTGCCGACTCGTCCGCGCCCGCGGGGGCGCCACGGAGTGGGGGCGGGGCACCCCGCGTCGGGCATCTGGGGCCAGGCCCAGCACGGGGTCTCTGTGCACTTGAGAACCGGGGGCCCTGCCTCCCCCATGTCCCTCCCAAAGCCAGGGTCCCGCCGGGTGCCCAGCACCTGCCCTCAGGGGCCGCCGTGCCCCCCCCACAGCTGGGCGGCTCCCCAGGCTGTGGGCCTGGGGCGGGTGCCGCTCTGGGAACGTTCAGACTTCCACAGGAAAGCAACCTGGCCCCGTGTTTGTAAGAGTGGGCTCCTCTCTCCTTTCTGTCACTTTGAAGACCAAAAAGAGAAAGAAACAGAAAATGGGTTCTGCTCTTTCTTTGTTTAAACATGAGCGAGAGTGAAGGGAGGTCTGTGTTGAGGCTGCGCTGGGGCGCTCTCATTGCGTCGCGGGAGGACGGGCCTGTGGAGGGACGCGGCAGCTTTGAGAAGCAGAGGGCCCCGGGGAGGAGGATGGGGGGCCGCATCCCCTCCCCACCTGCTCCCTGCGGCTGCCCTGGGTGGGGCAGCAAGTCTGCAAACGGGGTGGCCTTGTTCTCCTGCCAGTGACACCTGCCGTCTCCTGGTTTCCTGGCTTGCTCACTCGAGCTGAGGGGCATCCCAGAGAGGACGGTGGCAGCTTGGCCTGTCCCTGGTCTTACCAGAGCATTTTAAGGGCCTCGCCGCCCCAGCTGGACTGCTCGTGGCCAGGCTGGGAGTGTGCGCGGGTGGGGGGCATCTTCTGGTGCTCTCAGGACAGAAGAGGGCAGGACTCCCCTCCCCCGTGGTGCCCGTGGTTCTGGCCCTGACTCTTCCAAGTTGGGGGGGGGGTGTCACAGCAGAGCCAGAATCCCACCGGAATGAAATCCTCGGGAGGAGCTGTTCTAGTCCGGGCCCCTCCAGCCCTCCACCCCCAGGGTCCACTGCTGGGAGGAAGACCTCACATGAGTCCAGCAGGGCGGCGGGGCGGGGGTGTGCTTTGGAGGACGGAGAGATGGTGCCATCCTCCCCTTCCCTCCCCCCCCAGAAGCCCCCTCCCTGCCCTCGCTCCATGGGTCCAGCAGAGCCCAGGCCCTCTGTGCTCACAGCTGCCCTAAGGCCCTGAGCCCAGCCCTTGGGTGCCCACTGTGAGGTAACACCTGGATTGGGGGGCGGGGGCAGTACCAAGGCAGAGAGGGAGTGTTCTTGGGAAGCTAGGCATGGCTCCTTGGAGAAGCACGTGTCTCAAGCGGAATGGTGGGGACTCAGGGTCCCTGAGCTGGACGGCCACACGCAGCCCTGGACTGGGCACTTTCACCGCTAACTGCCTGGCCCAGGATCCCAGCCCAGGGCCTGCGGGTCAGAGCGGCAAAACCAGCCCCCATGGTCAGGTGTGGGGATGACCGCTAATGTGGGGGTTTGCATCTGGGCACCCTTGCCCCAAACTCCAGAGCCCAGTGAGGGCCCCTGCAGGAGACACAGGCCGGTGCCCTCCTCCCAGCGGGAACCTTGCAGGCTGCAGCCTGGCCCCAAGACAGCCCTCAGGCTGGGGCTCCCCGGTCCCTCGTCTGCCCTGTGCCCCATGGCCCAATGCCACCTAGTGCTGCCTGTGGCCTGGGGTCTCCACCACGTGTCCCGCGGCCCGCTGGCTTGGGTGCCCAGGACTGTGTGGCACCCCAGGCTGCCGGCCAGAGGGCCTGGATGAGAGCCAGCCTCACTCCCCTCCCCACCTCTACCGCAGCTGGGGTGCACTGGTCTCTGGCCATGCAGGGGCAGCAGTTCTAACTAAAAGGAAAGACAGCTTTTTTTTTTTTTTTTTTTTTGTCTTTGTGGCTGTTTCTTTTAAGCAGAAAATTAACCACGTTTTCTTGTCAGTTTGATTTCACAGTAGCCACACCTCGCCTGTCTGTGCGACAGTCGTTCCTCCCAGGAACTGGGGGGCTGGTCCCTGGCGACACCTGGGTGCCCAGTAATCTGGTACCCTGCCACCCCCTGGATGTGAGGGATGGGGGACAAAGGCAGCAGGCAGAGGGTGGGCTTCCCAGGGAGGAGGAGTGCTCTGGGGAGAGGTGCTGGGCGCTGGCTGGGGAAGGTTCAGCGGAGGAGGAAGGCTCCTGCCAGCTTGGGAGGGGCTGCGGGGGACGCCTTCTGCACAGAGGGACCCCACCCAGGAGCATGGCCTGGGCGGGAGCGGCCAGCCTGCTCAGGGTGATGAGGTCCTGGGTGTAGATGGGGTGTGCAGCAGTGTGAGGCTGGGGGCATCAGGGAGGCCAACGGGAGCCATCCTGGGGCCCTGCCCGCTCTGGGTCCTGGCCTCTCTTGCATCCCACCTGCGGGAGCTGGTCCAGCCAGGTGACCGTTTCTGCCCATCTCCTCGCTGCCAGAGGCCTCAGTCCCCAGCTGCCACCCATGGTCTGGACAGCGCTGCAGGAACTGCCACCAGGGCTGAGCCCACGTGGGCTCTCGGGGCCAGGGCCTGGGGTATCCTTAGCACCGGCGTTTCTGGGCTGAACCCGTGTTGAGGAGAAGGACAGTGGAGGCCCACAGCCCACAGCTTATAGGGGCCTGGCTCCCACCTGACACCCTGGGGTGACAGACATTCAGTGTCTCTCCAGACCAGCCAATCAGGGCAGAGGGACACTGCTGCTGGCTGTGGGGGGGTCTGAGGAGGGGCTGGTGGTGGGTCTAAGGACTGGAGGGGCTTCCTCTACTATAGAAGGGGCCCTCGGATGGAGGAGGGAGACCCAGACTTGCAGAGCAGCCCCGGAAACCAGCGTCCTATGCTGGTCCCTGCAACAGGCAATGTGGGGGTGCTACCCCATTGTTTAGTTGGGGAGCCAACGCCTGGAGAGGGCATGACTCAGGGTACTGCTGAAGGGACTTGGGACCTGAGGCTTAGGCTCATCCTGCCCCTGCCAGGGAGACCGACCCCCTCTTCCAGCCCTCGGACCCCATGGGCTCATGACCTGGCCATATGGGGCCGTGTGAGGCTGCCTAAGGGCCTGGGCCTCGGGCAGCCTGGGCTTCACGATGGGGGCAGGGCCTGGGCCACAGACGTGGTGGGTTGGGGGGAGCTGGGCCCTAGGACAGCTGGCTTCTGCTCCCCCGTAAAGTGCAGGAATCCGTCACATGTGTCCTGCTCGGCTGCTCTTGGGGGCAGTGGGGGTGGGGGAGAGGAGATACATATCAAGTCCTCGCTGTGGCCGAGGGTCTTTGCCATGCAAGGGACCTGCAAGTGACCACAAGTGCCCACATTTTCCAGCTGGTTCCCCATCCCCTGTCTGCCAGATTGAAGGACCCCAAAGCCCTGGACACTCGGGATCCTGCAGAGGTGGCCACCTCCCCCACCACCCCTCCCCCCACCATGCCAGGGTATGGGGGGGAGGGGTACCAGTTGGTACCCTCCCCCTTCTGCAAGGGTTCTGCTTCCCTCATCCTAAAATAACCACTTTGGGTGGAAGAAAATTAGTAAAATAAACGTAGAAAAGAAAATAAAAATCTCATGCAGTTCCCCTCCCCCCTTCCTCACCTGACGGGCCTTCTGCACACTTCTCCCTGGGGGGCCTTTCTGGGCACTGGTAGGTGTCGGCCCTCGGCCTCCCGCCACCCAGGAGGTTCTGTTCACCTTCCCAGGGCACGCACATCCTGGGGGCTCACCCCCTTTCTGCCTTCGGCCCGGGGTGTGTGCCGCGGGCATCTCGACCCCCTTGACGCTGTGGGGCAGCTATCAGCCGGCCTGAGGCCGGGGCCTGTGTGGCCTTTCTGGGTTCTGGGTCCTGGAGTCCTGGGTCCAGTCAGTGACTTGTCACCAGGGCCGCCTCCTTGCTGCGCCACCCGCAAGGGCACCCTTCGCAGCCCCACCTGTGGCCAGAGCAGGCCTCCTCACCCTGGAGAGCAGAGATCAGAGTGGAAGGCCCTCAGGCCTCTGGCAGGGCGGCCAGCACCCTCGACCCTGTGCTTTCACGGACTGGACATCCCTGACCACGTGAGGGAGGCAGGGCAGGGGGCTCCCCTCCCTCCTCGGTGGGGCTGAGGGCAGGGACCCAGGGGCCCCAAACCTGAGTGCAGCCTAAGGAGCCTGAAGGGGGGTCAGGGATCAGGGTCCTCATCTTGCTGACAAGGAGGCTGAGGCTAGGCTGAGGCCCGTCCTGGGGGAGGGGCCTGCCGGATTGAAGGACCCCAAAGCCCTGGACACTGGGTGGTTGAGACAGAGAGAGAATGAGCCTGGTACCTCGTCTTATGCTCTTATGCTAACCCCACCATGGGGCCCCCACCCTCACAACCTCATCTAAATGGAACTGCTTCCCTGAGGCCCATCTCCAAAAAAAAAAAATGCCAGCCCATCAGGGGTTACGCTTCAACCCCTGGATTTGGATTTTGGGGGGAAACAAACATCCAGTCCTTATCAGGGCAGGGGTGTCGACAGGCAGAGGGCATCCTGACCAGCTAGGTGTGAGCTGGGCCTCAGGGAACAGCTAGGAATGCAGACAGGAGGAGGGAGCCAGGAGGGCCAGGAGCAGACATGCCCCCCGCCCCACGCGCAGGGCACCGGGGAGCGCTGAGGGTGGGGCCCAGGATGGGGGCCTGCAGAAGGGGGTGAGGGGCCGTGGACGGGTGTGGGCAGCACCAGGGGTGGTGCAGGCTGGGGGCTCGGGGAGCACAGGGGAGAGCCTGAGCCCCTCACGGTGGGAGTGGCACTCCGTGGGCTGCAGACCACCATGGGGATGGAGGAGAGCCGTGGCTGGGCTGCTTGGTCCTGCACTGGGCCTCAGCAGGAGGGGACCGTCCCCCACGAGGAAGAAGGCTGGGGGCAGCTGGGTCCTGCTTCAGGGGGTCCCTCAGGCCCTGCCCAAACCACCAGCTCCCATCAGCTCCCTCCCCTCTCCCTCACTCCCACCACTTGCGGTTCCGCTGGGGACCGGTGTCCAGGACCGGCACCCATGTGGCAGCAGGAAGGGGAGAATTTAGGGCCAACTGCTGTGATAGGGTCCCAGACCCCAGGTCCCTAATCTGGATTCAGTTTCAAGCCTGAGGCTCCTAATGGCTATTTGTCACAGAGAGAATGGTCGTAATGATTTGTTTGAGCAATTCACTGCGTATTTTTAGGGTATGATGGTTTTGCAACAGAGACACGCACGAGAGTCTGGGGAGCCCTTCAGACCACCCGCCCCGCCCCCCAGGGAGACAGGGAAGAGGTTCTCTCAAAAACACGCTTACTGAGAGGCAGCGGACATGGCTTCAGGCCTCTTGTTCACTGTGTGCAGTGCAGTGATTTCTAGAATATTCTAGAACACGCCCATCGGCCCCCGACAGCCGTCCCCCAGCCCCTGGCAATCTGTTTCTCGGGGGTTGTCTGTTGTGGGCTGTTCGTGCAGATGGAGTCCTACACTTTGTGGACTGTGTCTGGCTTCCTTCACGGAGCGCAGCGTCTCCGACGACCGTGTGCCTGGTAGCACCTGTCCGCGCTTCCTTCCGTCTCCCGCGAGTCTTCGTCCATCCGTGTGAGCGCCACGTTTTCTTCACGCAGCTTTCTCTCGGCGGGCATCGGCTGTGTCTGTCTGGCCGCCAGGAGCAAGCAGCAACTCCGTGTGGGCCTCAGGGTCGGGAGACTGCATCCTTCTCGTGACAGTGTCGTGACGGATTTGCAATCTCAGGGGATCCGCTGTGACCTTGAAGAGCAGGCACTGAGTGAGACCCTGGCTTCTGGCCTGGGGCCCGGCTCCCCGACCCGGCAGGATGCGGGCCTCCCCCCCACCCGCCAGAGAGCTCCTGAGAGGGTAGCCGGCGGGGCTGGGACTCCAGGCGGGGGTGGGAGTGGGGCACAGGCAGAACCCAAGCGCTCCTCGGTCACACAGTTCAAGCTGCCTTTCTGGTCACACGTCTCCCTTGGGGATGGTCCCTAACCAGCGGTGCCCATAGGATGAGTTGAGGTCCGCCGGTCCATCACGACTGTTCCGCTGAGGCTGGAGAGGAAAGTGATGAGGCGTTCGGGCAACCACCTGTAGCCTGTCCCCAGCCCCACTGGCCTGGCCACTCAGCGTCACGCCCCAGAAGCCCCAAGCCCCCGTGGGATGCTCCTTCAGGCAAGAGCTGGGTCCACCCCACCGGCGCCTGATCCCTTGACCTGGCGCTCCGGTCACCAGCCTCCCTGGCTGAGCCCGCTGTGTTTCCGGGCCCACCCATGTCCCCACCGCCATCTCGCAGTGGGGAATAAAACTCTCAGTGACCTAGCATGTGGCTTTGGCAGGACGTGGAGGGCACGCCCAGGCGGACGAGTGCTCCCCGGCCTGTGGTCTTAGTATGGGGCCTTGGTTTTTGCATCAGGCTGTGTTCTCGGGGCAGCAAACTGGGGCCTCAGAGCTCTGTCCAGACGGGTCACACAGCGAGCAAGCGAGCCCCCGCCGGCTGACGCACTCCCCACAAACAGCCGTCACTCAGCTTAGTTCTAGAGGAATCCTTGCTTTCTGATTCACATATTGTGCCTTTTTTCCTTGAAATATTTGATGTGTTCCATTCCAACTTTAAACACATTAGCTCTGAAGTAGACTAATCATTTAGCTTGTTAAACTGAATTTGGCTCTGAGATTTTAAAATGGAAAAAAAATCCTGCCAGAGCTATACATCTAAACAGACAGCACGGATGGTCGTTCACAAGCAAATGTATCTCTTTCTCCAGGGATCTGTGGTTGGGTTAGTATTTACTGGGAGTGGAGAGTGTTTCACCCGCCAGGGCGATATCCAGCCTATGCGACAGATGTTAAACATCGCTGCAGAAACGCCAATACCTTGTTTCTTTTCAGAAATGAGCTTTTTGAAAGCAATGCTGAGATTAAACCACACGTGCATTCAGAATGAAAAGCATTAACGAAGAATTTCAGATCTGCAAAGCTGGGAATGGAACGTTCTGGGCGTGTCCCAGAGGGGGCTGTTGGCGGTTGCCGCATGCTTGCATGCACGTGTCAACACGGACTGCACCTTCTTCGCCATCCTGCTTCCGGTGTCCTCTGTCCCGTGGTTGTCACTGGCCGTGGGCAGTGGCCCTGGGACGTGTCGAGGGCTTGGCGGTCCCCAGGTCCCGCGCTGCTCCCTGGGGAGGAGGGGGCTTTGGCAGCCTGGGGACAGTTGTTTTCATAATTAATAGACTTTAAATGAACCTTATATTTTAGCGTAGCTTTGGGTTTACAGGATAGTTAGGCAGATAGTAGAGTTTCCTCCTCACAGGACTCGGCTTCCCTCCCTGTTCTTCACGCCTTGCATGAGTGTGCTACTTTGTTGCAATCGACGAGCCAGTACTGAGACATTATTCTGGATAATGTGCACGGTTTACACTAGGGTCACTGTGCAAAGCCATCTGTTCTGTGGGTTTTGACAAATGCATGTGACATAATCCACCATGATGGTGTCCCGTGGGATCGTTTCACTGCCCTGAAAACCCCCTTCGCTCCACCTGTTCATTAATGTTTTAAAGGAATAAAGACACACGTGCTCACAAATGAAAGCAGTTACTTGGCAATAATTATCAAAACGCTAGAAGCAGACGTGTGATGTGGTGATGGGCGTGCTCCTGGCAGGCGAGAGGCGCCGTGGTTTTGAGGTTGTGGAAAGCGTGGACTTTTGAAGTGTCTGCCACACGTGGACCACGATACAGACGCATCTGTGCTTTCGGTGAGGGACAAAATCCCCAGGACCTCGGACATCCCAGTAGAAGGAAACGCTAAATTTCAGTTGGAGGTTAGTGCAAATAAAGATGTCATTTTCTCCCGTCTAAGTTCACGGACCCCCTGAATTAAGGATCCCTGATTTAGAAAAAAAACACTGAACACTTGGAAAGTCAGAAGAACACAGGCCAATGGGAATAGAGAATGGGTTTTCAAAACCAAATCCGTTGTTTTTGAACTCTGCGCCATGACGGCAGCCGAGTGCACTCAGCCCTGCTGTGGTACCGCAGACGCTTGCCTCGGGGACCTCACGTGGACCAGAGGCGGGTTCATCACGGGAGTCCATGAGGCTCCGCAAGAGTGAGTGTAATCAGCTCCCTCCTCAGAACAGGTGCGGAGGCTGCGTTTCAATGTCTTCCCGGGACCGCGGCAGCTCCCTGAGCCCCGGGGGAGCCCTGCGTCCAGCCTGCAAAGGGTCCCTGCAGGCTGGAGGCCCAAGACCTTTGTGCACCTGCACCCGGGGTCATCTCCACGCGGATTCCTCCTGAATGAACGACGCTGTGCAAACTGTTGAGTGCGGTGTTGAGGACGAGCCGGGCAGAGCAGGTATGGCCTGGCCTGGGCCTGGCTCCCGTCGTGGTTGCCCCAGGCCTTGGGACATATGTGCTGCCCGGAGGGACGCTCAGGCCCCGAGGAGGGGAGAGCATCACCCTGGGGGCTGTAGGGAGAGGCCTCCTGCAGGCGGGGCTCCGTGGGCCACAAAGCACAGAGCCCCTTGCAGTGTGGCCCTGTGTGCACAGCGCTGTCATGGTCGGCCTCAGCCCTGGGCCGGAGCAGCCGCTCAGGGTCCCCACTCATTGCCCCCTTGCTAGGCCCTCCCTGGCTTGCCATCCCCCCCAGGTGCCCGGGCCTCCCACTGTCCCCCTGCCGTGCCCACACATGCCATTTTCTTCCCCACTTGTTGTGACCTCGTTCCTTGGGGCCAACGCCCTTCTCTGCCCTTGGACCCCAGAGCAGGCACCCTGTCCACCATCGATCCCTCCCTCCCTCCCTCCCTGGAGGCCGAGGGCCGGTCTGGCTGGTGGGTCAGGTGGAGTCGCTCCCAAGTCGCTAGTCCAAGTGGGCACCTGGTGGTGGGGAGGATGGGCAGCCTGTTCAGTCAGGCTAGGACTTGAATGTCCCCTTGCACCCCTGGGGCTCAGCCTCTGGCCATCCCTATTCCTTCCGTGGTGTCTGCACCCCCACGTGGGGCCTGGTTCTGAGCCAAGGCGCGAGTCGGGCAGGGTGTGCTGGAGACCTCCCTGCAGGAAGGACAGTGGTCGGCTGCGCCTGCCCCAGCTTTGCAGCCAAGCACCCACCTGCCCCCCGTCCATGCCCTGGCCCCCGTGCCCCACAAAGAGCCCCAAAGGAAGGCCCTGGCACACTCAGTCCTACCTGTTGGCTGGCACGTGGCCTAAGCTGTCCAGGCCTCTGGCAGAGGGACTTGTCTGTGTCGGGGTCATTCCTGGGCCAGGGACTGGGCAGAGCTTCACCCGGTAGGCGCGACAGCTCAGGGCGGTCATGCGCCTCCCTGGGCGCCCTCCTGCCCCGGGAGTCAAGCTCCAGGATGATTTGGTGAAGCTGCTCAGAGCCAGGCAACCCACTTCTGACCTGCCAGGTGACTCTCCCCGCCCCGTGTCTGCCCAGTGTCCTGTGTCGGGCGCAAGGACAACAGTGTGCAAAGGCGGACCTGTGCTCTGCTCAGGGAGCCGTTTCCTGGGGAATGAAAAGCTCTGTTGACAGCATTTGCCAGTTTCCATGGCGTAAATACTCCCGGCACGGCCGGGTCCCAGCTGCCCGTCATCACGGAGCACCCGTGTGTTCCGCTCCGCTCCGTGAGCCCGCTCCCTGCCGTGTGACCTCACGTGGTGACACACGCCGTCTCCAGTCCCCACACCAGCCCATCTCCCAGTAGGGAAGCAGCCGTTCAGAGCGGCCCCCCAGCTGCTACGTTGCAGCCCCAGGATTTGAATTCCCATCTCCCTGGCTCCACAGCCTCGCCTCCCTGGGCCGGCGGCCGGGCCGGCGTGGTCCGCAGGGGCACCTGCACCTGGGGGCAATGCCTTGGGCACGAGCTGCGGCAGGCTCTGCACTCTGTGCAGGTCTCTGTTGGGAAGACTTGGATAACGTTCTGGCATTTCTAGATCAGAGAGTGATTAAGGCTGCCGCAGAGTCCAGGAGACTGGCTCCGGACCTTGGCTGGCGGCCCCTGCCCTCTGCTGCCCACAGCCCCAAGCCTTGGTGCCGGCAGCGTGGTGTGGGTCACTGAGGCTGGCTGCCTCCAGGAGTGGCCTTCTCTGCAGGGAACTCCAGCGCCGAGCCCGCATGGCCTTCACCCCAAAAGCCCGGAGCCTGTGGGACAGCACGAATGAGCCCCTCTGCGTGGCCAGGGCCTCTCTCAGCCTCTGGCCTGCCTGGCCTCCATGAGCACGTAGACACAGGGTCTTGGCAGTGGTCCCTCCTCTGGCTCCAGCAGAGGCGCAGGACCACGCCCTGCCCGGGAAATGAGGGTCCCATCCTGACCCCCCTTTCCTAGAGGTGTCCCTGACCGCGGCCCAGCTCTGCTGTCCTTGTCCCTTCTCCTGGGGGAGCAGGACTTCATGGCCGGCTTTCTTCCTGCCCCTCTGCTTCTTCAGGAAATGGCTTGTCTCCAGGAGAGCGGGCATCTGAGGAAGGGGACCCTGCCCGGGGGCACTGCTGATGGGGGCTGTGGCCACATGGCTGGGCAGGGGCAGGGCCGGGCTCTGGGGCATCAGAGCCTGGGTTCAGGGGACTCTGGGGAGTCTCTTGGGGCTTGTCCCTTGCCCACCGGGCCCCCTCTGCCCACGTGTCATCTCTTCTGCTTCCAGCTGGTGCCCACCTGCAGCCTGAGGCCCCAGCGGGCTCCAGGAGGCTTGTCTGGCGCACGTGGGGGGCCCCTGAGACTCTGCAACCATAATGGTGACACGGTTCCCTAGGAAACTGCAGCCGACTGCCAGGCCTGCCTGGGGGGTGGGGGCAGCTGCAGATGCCAGGTGGGAAGGTGTGCGTGTCCCTGTGTGAGAGAGAGAGTGGGGGTGTGGGTCTGTGTCCAAGGGCCCCGGGTCTGTGTGCGGGTGTATGTGAGTGTGTCTCTTTGTGCCTGGAGGCTCAGGACGGGCAGCCTGGCCCATCCAGCACCACAGTCCACCTGGGAAGGTCCCCTCGCCACTCCCCGCCCGCCCCAGGCCTTCCGGCAAAGCCCCACTGGCAAACAACAGCAGGCCCACCTGTGTGGTCACTGGGGCTGAGCCCTGGCCTGGCCTGGTGGGTGGCGTGGTCCTCCGAGGGGCCGGGCAGGCCTGGCCGGCTCGAGGCAGGACCCTCCAGTTGCTGGGGGTGGTCCTCAAAGCCCAGCACCCAGCCTCCTCCTCCCCCGGCCCTGCTCAGCCTCTCCCTCCCCCACCCCCTTTCTCCAGGGAACAGCCCACCCTTCGAGTCCCCGTGGGGTACCACACCCAGCGGCTTTGGGGCACCATGGAGGTCATAGGGGTGGGGGTGCAGGTCACAGGCGCCCCTTGGGACATGCTGGAGGCCACACCCCTCAGGCCCTCCTCTGCCCCTCCCCCAATCTGCACATAAATCATGGGGCCACAAGAGGTAAGCAGGTCACTCCTTGTGCCAGGAAACCCAGGACCCTCCCTTGCGGCGCGGCCTGTTCTATGGTGTGTGGGTGTGTGCAGCTTGGCTGGGAGATCCAGGAGCTTTGGCGGCCCCTCACCTGGGGACCTGGGGGCCTGGGGGCAGGTCCCAGGCAGGTCTGCAGTGTGGACTGTGGCAGACTGTGTGGGGCTCCTTGGTGACAGCAATGTGAGGACAAGCTGGAGGCCACTGGCAGGAAATGCAGGGAGCAGGGGCTGACCAGAGGGGCAGGGCCATTCACCCCCCTGCCAGGAACCCAGCTGCCCCGTCCCTGCCCCATCTTGGGCTCTGCATCCATGCTGAGGAGTGGGCCAGAGACAAGACAGAAGCTCTGTGGTCACTAAAGCACCTTCAGCACCTCAGTCTGTGTCTGGGACCTCGGCTCCCCTCCATGCCCAGCACCAGGAGAAGCCACACCATCCTCCAGGCACGTGGCTGGGCACAGAGCAGGGAGGCCTGGTCAGGAGGGGCTCTGGCTCAGCAGGCCCAGCCCCGGCCAGCAGAGCACCCCTGAGGGCCTGGACCCACCCAAGGGCTGGGAGGGAGCCACCTCCTGGGGCCAGGGATGGGGCGCCCCAAGGGGTCCACTGTGTTGAAGCTACAGAGATGGGGGCCCAGGGGGCCCTGTGTCCAGTGCAGATGGGGCCATGGCCTATGCCCAGGCCCCCAGGAAGAAGGGACTGGGGGACAGAGAGTGACAAGGGGCGGAGGGCTGGCTAGGAAACGGTGCCTCTGTCCAGGTGTGGGGGGCCTCCCTCCGTGCCCTCCCTCCCCCACTTCTCTGCCCCCCGCCCCGACCCCGGGAGCAGGCGGCACGTGGCAGACCCAGTCCCTGAAGAGACGCACACTGGAGCCAATATATAGATTTTCTAGTCTGCTCAGCAGAGTGCGCGTGCGTCGTGGCAAAGAAAGAATAAGAACACGCAGAGTTCATGGCTAGCGTTCCCAACAAGCACGTTTGTTTCCCCTCTGAGCTCACACTGGATAAAGACAAACAAGGTATCAGCGGCGTGGCCGCACTGGGCGCAGCCCCCGGCCCCCGCCGCCCCCCACCCCCTGTGCAGGGCTGGCCCCCCGCGCCCTCCCCGAGCCTGCCCTCCCCGGGCCCATGCGAGCGGCGCCCC